CCTTGGCTGCTGCTTCCCCACACTGACTGTACCGCTTCTCAACACCACCATGGATCACCGGACACCACCCAGTGGCACCGCATCACGCAACCTGGCACCTAGCGTCACCGCACTGCACCCAGCAGCACCGCCCCACTCACCAACTACAGCAGAGGCGTGGGTGTGCAGCAGGCGCCCTCGCTCCCGCAGCCACTCGCCCACAAACGGCACCCCCAGGTACATCGGATTCTTGCCCTGCTCCTTGGCTGCTGTGCGCTCGTACACGTAGCCTATACTCGCCAGCATGTGCTCTCCAAAGGCTGCTTGTGAGGGATGCGGGATGCAGGGGAGAAAGGCACGGCAGTCTATCATGCGATTGAAGAAGTGTTTTGAGACGTCTCAAAACACTTCTTCAATCATGCGGGATGCAGGGGAGAAAGGCATGACAGTCTATCATGCAAGTCTGCTGTGCTAATGCTTCCTCTCCCTGTTCCTTGGCTGCTGTGCTGTGCGCTCATACACGTACCCTATGCTTGCTAGCATGTGTTCGCCGAAGGCTGTTGGCGGGGGATGGGGAGACAAAAGGCGATGGAGGGGTAATAAAACAAGTCTGCTCTGCTCTGCTGGTGGTGCTGGTGCTCCCTCTTTCCCTGCGCCTTGGCCGCACTGCGCTCATCGTACACGCATCCTATGCTCGCCAGCATGTGCTGTCTGAAGGTTGTTTGTAGGGCATGTGGGGACGACTTTTGAGGCGCCTCAAAAGTCGCACTGCGCTCGTACACGCATCCTATGCTCGCCAACATGTGCTCTTCGAAGGCTGTTTGTATGTGGGGCATGTGGGGCATGTGGGGCATGTGGGGCATGTGGGGTATGTGGGGAAGCAAGGCCCAGTGAGCACAGGACACATCACATAGACTGCTGGCACCAGTGCTCCCGCCTTGTTCATTGGCTGGCTGCTCTGCGCTGCGCTCATACACATACCCTATGCTTGCCAGTATAGGATATGTGTATGAGCGCAGGGTCTGCACAGGAGAGAGACACGGAATACATGACCGATAATGCCCGCCCACCGAACGCACACACAAACTCCTAAGAGTTCGTAAAGGTAACACAAGCATCTTCCCCGAACCCACACCCTTCTCTCCCACCCACCCACCGGCATGAGCAAGCTTGTCAGCCTCTTCATGTGCCCACCGCACAAACTCCTCCTTGCCCCTCCCGCCCAATCCCCACAGGTGCAGCCGTGCGCGCAGCTTTCCCAGCAGCTCCCCCACGCGCTGGTCCTGGGCGACCTGCAGAGGGGCAGAGAGCGAGGGCAGAGGGGGCGCGGGAAGGAGAAAGAGTCGAGGGCTGAGGAGGCGCGGGAAGGGGAACGAGGCAAGGGCAGAGGGGATGGAGACGAGAGCGAGGTGTGGTGCAGTATACGCAGCAGGGCTGGAGGGAGCAGCCGCACTTGCAGCTTCCCCAGCAGCTCTCTACCACATGCTGGCTGTGGGCCGCCTGCAAGGGGGAAAGGCAAGGAGAGGAGCGAGGGAGGGAGTGAGAGAGTCAGAGAGTGTCTGACTCGCAGCTCTCATCAGTCAGCTTTCACTCAATCCTTCCTAAGCCACGCCCTTCAGTTCTCATCACGTAAGTCATCATTAAGTCCGCAGCTTACCCTTCATCTGAGGCACCTCATGATGAAGGTGAAGCTCCAGAGGAAGCAGCTTCAGCTGGAACAGATGCATCGTCAGATCTGCCGATGCACTGTCAACGTCCAATTTCCAAGAGTTCTGAAAAACTCCTTCATGCCTCACGCCCCACCTCACACCTTCCACCTCCCACATACCTTGAGCTGAACCTCCCCGGGGAGCAGCACCCCTGCAATCCCTGCTCACACCCATCTCAGGAGCCACAACAGCAGCAGCAGCAGCAGCAGCACTCTAACCTCCCACCTTCCACCTCCCCATACCTTGAGCCTCTGCTGAACCTCCCCGGGGAGCAGCACCCCTGCAATCCCTGCTCACACCCATCTCAGGAGCCACAACAGCAGCAGCAGCAGCAGCAGCAGCACTCTAACCTCCCACCTTCCACCTCCCCATACCTTGAGCCTCTGCTGAACCTCCCCGGGGAGCAGCACCCCTGCAATCCCTGCTCACACCCATCTCAGGAGCCACAACAGCAGCAGCAGCAGCAGCAGCACTCTAACCTCCCACCTTCCACCTCCCCATACTTGAGCCTCTGCTGAACCTCCCCGGGGAGCAGCACCCCTGCAATCCCTGCTCACACCCATCTCAGGAGCCACAACAGCAGCAGCAGCAGCAGCAGCACTCTAACCTCCCACCTTCCACCTCCCCATACCTTGAGCCTCTGCTGAACCTCCCCGGGGAGCAGCCCCCCTGCAATCCCTGCTCACACCCATCTCAGGAGCCACAACAGCAGCAGCAGCAGCAGCAGCACTCTAACCTCCCACCTTCCACCTCCCCATACCTTGAGCCTCTGCTGAACCTCCCCGGGGAGCAGCCCCCCTGCGATCCCCCCCTCAGGAGCACCACCACCAACAGCAGCGGCGGCAGCAGCGGAGTCGAAGGCGATGGACGCAAAGGTGGCCATGGCGAGCTGCCCCACGTAGTCCTCAAAGGCCTCGCTGCCGAACAGCATCCCGAACACCGCTGCTGGATCCACCATCGCTTCCCTGTACACGGAGGGATTGGGGAGAAAGCAGCAGTGTGTGTGAGAAGGGAGGGCAGTGGGATTCTTAGAGAGCTGCCCCACGTAGTCCTCAAAGGGCTCGCTGCCAAATAGCATTCCGAACACCGCTGCTGGATCCACCATGGCTTCCCTGTAGGGGTGGGGGAGAGGGGAGAGGAGGAGGGGGGTTAGGAGAGGGGAGAGGGGAGAGGGTAGTGGGGAGAGGGGAGTGGGAGGAGGGGAGAGGACGCGAAGGGGAAGGGAGGGAGGGGGGAGAGCGAGAGGGGAGTGGAGAGGGGAGTGGAGAGGGGAGTCGGACGAGGGGAAGGGGGAGCGGAGCGGAGAGGGGAAGGTGACATGGTGGGGGAGTGGTAAGGTGAGGAGCAATGGGGAGGGGAGCATGAGAGCATGTGGGCATAACGTAGGGGAACATGAAAGCAGATGGGGACTTGGAGTGAGTGAGTGAATAAGGGAGTGAGTGAGCGAGTGAGCGAGTGGGTAAGTGAGTGAGTGAGTGAGTGAGTGAGCGAGCAAGTGAGCGAATGGGAGGTAGCAGAGACGCACGTGGAGATACCAGCCTTGCCAGCAGCATCGTATCGTTCGCGCTGTACAGGGTCGCTGAGCACCTGGTACGCCTCCCCCAGCGCCTGGAACTTGGCCGCTGCTTTCGGGTCGTCCCGGTTCTTGTCAGGGTGAACCAGGCGCGCCTGTTGGCAGGGGGGAGGGGGAAGGGGGGAAGGGGGAAGGGGGGAAGAGGGGAAGGGGGGACGGGGGGGGAGGGGGGAAGGGGAGAAGGGGGGAAGAGGGGAAGGGGGGGAGGGGAGAAGTTGGGAAGGCGAAGTATACTCTCTGTAAGGGGCGCTGGCGCAGCACGGGGTCGCTGAGCACCTGGTACGCCTCCCCCAGCGCCTGGAACCTGGCCACGGCCTTGGGATCTTCGCGGTTCTTGTTGGGATGCACCAGGCGCGCCTGTTGGAGAGAGGGGATTGGAGGGGAGGGGAGGGGGAGGGTGGGGGGAAGGGGACGGGGGGTCTCTTTCAAGCGTGCCTCAAGAGAATCTTTCTCCGGGGTCTTAGACAGGTTCACTGGCGTCACTGGCGTCACTGGGGCTTCTTCCTCGCCTCTTCCCCTCTCTTTCCCCTCCCCCCCCCCCTCTCCTCCCGCATTCCCCCACCCTTCTCCCGCCTCCCCCCTCCCCCCGTTCCCCCGATATCCTTCCCCTCAATCACCACCGCCCTCCCCACCCCTCTCCCCGCTTTCCCCTTGCGCACCTTCACAAAGTAAGCTTTTCGGATGACCGACGCGTCTGCGCCGGGCGCTATCCCCAGCAGGTCGTAATACTCTGTCTCGCGAACCATACTGAAATCGCCACACTTCGCAGCCTCAGCCTTTGCTCCTTCCCTCCCTCCGTCCCTCCTTCACTCCTTTCCCTCCCTCACTCCTTACCTCCTTCTCCCCGTCACTCCTTCACTCCTATGCTCTCCACTCCTCACTCCCTCACCCTCTTCGTTCCGACGCCACCGTCCGTTGGTTCTACCAGTCAAAAGCCAGTTAATACCAGGTGAACTTGCTTATAGTATAATACGGCTTGTAGCGGAACCCAGTGTCTCTTATATCGCGGAGATTCGAGAGTCGACGATGGTGGACCCCGGAAACGGCGAGTCGCTCTGGCTCGCGGTTTGGGTTCGGGCTCTGACCGTGCCGGATAGTGGTAAGCGTCGAGCCGCGGATTTCACCGTAACTCCTTCCCCCGATAATCTGCAAAGGGTCTGGCAAAAGTAACAGATGCAACGGCACAGGCCGCCTATCCACTATTTTACACGACACTACAAGTTCCGAATCATGATGGATGTCTTGCGAACGCAACAATCTGCCGGCCTAGAAGAAATCGACGCCAACCCGATGATCATCCTAGATTCTGGACTCGACTGGACTTGAGGTGCAGGCAGAACAGACTGGCCGGCATAATCGGACGAGGTGTCCCCAGCCAGGTGATGTGACGATCAAATCGGTAACGCATGGTTTATTACGGCAAGGCATTCTCGTGTGGATAGCCATCTGGCTCAAGTACATAATAATAATATAGTTCTGTTACCGTATGATGTTACAAGCAGCGGCTAACATGTACCGTATTTCAATTTCAAAATGATTATGTTTTCACTTGCCAACGCACTTGGAAGACATACGGTACTGTTCCCATGCTTTGTTGTTGGGGGGCAAGATGAGCACATACCTCCCAAGACCAGGCAGGCACCTCGAAAACAAAAATCATAACTCGGCACTACTTCAGAAAACGTAAAAAAATAGACGCCTCACTCATTGACAAGCCCATATCCCACAATAACCCACACCTACACTATTTCCAGCTCTGCCTCCTCCTCCTCCTCAACACCCTCCATATCACGCACTAACAACTTCACCTCATCTCCACCCAATCCCACACCAGCAAACTCCACCAGCGAGCACAGACCCTCGGGATTACCCACAGAACAAGCCCGGACCACGTCAGCCCCAGCAACAGCCTGCCCGTCCATATGCAGCCACAGCACGAGGACAAACTCCCCCCGGTGCTCATCATACGGAGCCTCACCACCCCACTCGGGCATTCCTTCTGACATCGCATCTGCGACTTGCAGAGCATTTTTCCCAGTGTTGTTTCCGCCAATCTCTTCTGCCTTTCTCCCTCCCTCCACCAGCTCTGCATCGAAGACACCTTCTTCATGTGTTGATCCGAAATCAGCGCCGCCACTGCCGCCGCCCCCGCTGCTGCTGCTGCTGCTGGAGGCACGGTTGGTTGGAGCAGTGAGTTGCAGCAGCCGACTGGAATCACCTGCACACCGGACCAAACCCGTCAGGTCACCTTGTGACACCACAGGTACCTCCACCCCCACCTTTTCCACTTCTCCTGCCGCTCCTGCGCTCCCTGAGTCTCCTGCTGTTGTTCCAGCTGATTCTGCTGCAGTGCTTTCCCCTACTGTTGGAGCTTCAGTTGCTTTCAAAACGCCTGCCAAATCTCCCGTATTCTCCGAATCCTCCATAATCCCCCAACTATCATCATCCTCCAATAAGAGCATGCCACGTGGCACATATTCAACAGATGTCTCTAGCACTTCAGTCGTAGGCTCCTCCCACTCCCCGTCCCCCTTCCTTCCGCCATTCCCCTTCCCCTTCGCCCCTCCTTTCCCCTTCCCCGCGCCACGCTTCCCCATGCCTGCCGCCCCAGGCCCAGCACCAAACCCCGCCGCCGAGCCTCGGAGCTTGGCTCGGACGTGAACCTGCACGAGCACGCAGCCGCGGCCGAACCTCTGCTGTCCAGCGGCCGCCACGCGCGCAATGTCAAGCGCAGTAGGCGCACCGCCTCCACCGTCACATGTGCTCACGCGCTGGAACTGCGAGTCCCACACCGCCATCAGCTGCTCGAACGACCATCGGCGCGCAGCGGGCCCCTTCGGGGCGCCCTTGGGCTTCCGCCGCCTCGCAGCGTTCGCTGCGCTGCTGTCGTTGCCACTGCCGCCGCTGCTGCTGTCTTCGCTTCTGTTGTCGCTGGCATCAGCACCCTTACTTTCGTGTTCAGTAAGGAGTTCAGAGGAAATAACGGACACATCCTCCGTGGATCCCGTCTCTTGCTGCTGCCTGCCCTTCTTCCCCTGCCGACGCTTCCCTTTGCGACCCCCGCCGCTCCCGACTCCGCCTCCTGCGGCGGCACGAACGGAGATAGTACGTGGAATTAGCGGAAAAGGCGGGTTGTGGGGAGAGCTGACGGATCGCAGAATGCTGGTTGACGCCGTGAGGGGAAATGAGCCTGGTCGTAGAGTTCGCCTTATTTCGCTAGCGTCGGTCGCGGAGCGGCAGCTGCGACGGAGCGAGGATCGCAATTGGAGGTCGCCATGAGCGACCAGCCGCGTGGTGGTGGGAATGCTCTCGAGACGCATTGCGCGCGATTCGCGCAAATCGCGGGGATTACTGTGGCGACGAGAAGGATGAACCGATTACTGAATAACTGAGGCCTGAATTCTAAATGCCTCTTCGATCCTTGCTGCGATCGGTGGTTCTCCCACAGCTGTGCCACGCGGCACAATCTGCGTGGGTGGTGGAGAGCGGGAGAAGGGGTTTGGCAGGGGTGAAGGGATTGGATTGCATTGCAGGGAAATCGCTGCGGAACGTAAATGGCGGGGTCGCGGTGCATGCACGATCAATTGGGTTACGAGAGTTCGTGTCTTTGGTGCTGTTCGCCAGCACAATTCTATCCAAAAACCACGGGATAACGACGGGATCAGGAAGGTGGGTCTCGCCTTCCTGATCCCGTCAGTTAGAGTTCGTTAACCTCCGTCAGCTTGGTCAGCCCGTGAAAGAAGTGCCGAGCCTCAACTACCGTCCAAACCAACAAACAAAGTGGGCGTCTGGCGAACGCCCACTTTTCTCCACCAAATCTAACAGTTCGACGGCATCTGGAAGCGGGAACGAAACTTCGTCCCCAGGCAAAATGCCATCCCCTAGCCATGCCATCGTCATGCCGCGTTTTTCAAAGCATAGCGGTGGCACAGCCGACGCATTGTTGTTCAGAGGGTAACCCTTGAACAAGCTTGCAGTTTAACAAAGGGGGGTTCGTATACCCCCCATTTTTCCCTCCCAAACACACCGTGGCGGGGGTTGTGTTTGAGCGGGGTGTGTTTTATTTGCGTTTTTTACCCACGTTGAGCAATTTTTGGTCAGCGGGCAGCACAAGGGTCAGGGATGAGCAAATTTCGCTCCATTGGGGGGAAGGTGGGGATGGACCTTCCCGATGCGGTTGAGAAATTTCGCCTTTCGGGCGCGCGTAGTTTCTCGGGCGGCATTTCGCCCAAACCTCGGAGGAGGGTTCCGCCCCCGTTTCCATATGCGGTCGCGATGCTGATGCCATCATTTTCTGTTGAAGAAACGATTTGCTGGTGAACAGCACCTTTGTGTTCGTCGCAATGCTAGGCAAAATGACAGGTCCGCATTCGCGAATCTTCGTGTTCAATTGGCCTACACTGCAAACTTCTGGAGCAGAGGTGGGTGGGGGAACTGGGTGGGTGGGGTGGGGTGGGTTGGGGTGATTGCAGTTGACTCTTCCAGCTCTGTACAGAGCAGGAAACATGTTCAGTGACGTCGAGAGGTGATCGCACTGGAAGCTACTGCAGCGTTGTTACGGGTGCAATGAATCGAAGTAGCGAGAATTGCACTAAAGTGTCAAACGAGTACAAAATGTGAGCGAAGGCATGAGCAAACATTTATACGCGAAACATGCAAACGGTAACGCGGTGCGTGCGAGCTAGCTAGTGCTATGCTGGAAGCGAGGCTCGGGCTAGTCCCGAAGCGTAGGCCGACACGGCCAGGCCAGCAGTGCGAGGTTTGGTGGAACAGTGCGCGCGAAATCGGCGAAGCCCCGTTAGCAGTAACGGGCGAACAACGGCTGCTGTTGTACGCGATGTTGCAGGGCGCGCTAAGGAATATCGAGAAAATTCCTTACACTACCCCCCCCCTCAAGAAGCCCCCTCCGCTACGCGAGTGCGTGTATATCGCGGAAACCCCGGCTCCTCAGGTACACTTGCAGGGCAGGGTGGTTTTCGATGTTGGCCAGGGGCACCCAGCTATCTTCAGTTGGCGTGCGATCCTTCCAGCGAACGAGGAATTCAATCCTCCTGATTCCCGTGGGGTGTCGAATCCGATGGCTCCGGATTTTTCCGGGTTCGATGATCGGCTCCGATGCAGGGCGAGTCATGGATGGCGGGCGGTGACGAGGCAGTTGGCTTGTGGTTGGGATGTATGGGCGAAGCAGGCTGACGTGGAACGAAGGGCTGATGTACCAGTCCGTCGGCAACAGTAGGTGGGCTGTCACTGGGGTAATCATGTGGCTGATCTGGAATGGTCCACAGTAGCGGGGTCGCAATTTCGGTACGACGGGCAGTCTTAAGTTCTGTGTGTCGAGCAGAACGTAATCTCCTGACTGGTACGTGACTGGGCGGCGATGGCGGTCAGCGTTGCGTGTGAGAATAACGAGGAATGATTGACTAGAGGAAAGGTTGGGTACAAGTACAAACCCTAGAAATGTGTTGTACCCCATATGTGCTACCCCACTATAGCCTACACAGGCTAAGTCATATAAGTCTGACACACCCCCATAGGCAAAGTGGGGGAGAACAAGGGGTCACAAGACCAGTCAAGCAAAGCAAAGCAAGCTCAGGGTGGATCACAACGTCACCACACATTCCGAGCACAAGTTCAAGGCCACAAGGCCAGTTCACATGCAAGATCATATATAAAGGTAAACAAGTAAGTGCAGGTATAGAAAGATCACAGTACAAGCAAGGTCAAGAAGTGAGCAAATCAGGCCAAGTAGGCACAAGACCTAGCATCGTACAGCAGCGCTGATGATCACAAGGCGGAAGTGCCTTGGTAAAGATATCAGCAGTGTTGGCCTGAGAGGCCACGTAAGCAAGGTGCAGCTGACCACGCTGCTGTAGCTCACGAGCAAGGAAGTAGCGAAGAGCAATGTGCTTCGTTCTGTGCTCCAGTCTGTGCTCCCGACACAAGGCCAGCATGGCCTTGTTGTCTACGTACAGAACTGGAGGAGAACGAGGCGGCTCTCCTAGGTCAGTCAGCAGGTAGGTGAGCCAGCGTAGCTCCTGTGCAGCCATGGCCCCCGCGTAGATCTCAGCCTCACAGCTGGAGCCGAGAATAGAAGACGAGCGGGTAGACCGCCACGAAACAGAGCCGGAACCAAGGCTGAAGGTGTAACCCTGTGACGACCGCTGCGTAGCCTGGTCGTCAGCCCAAGAAGCGTCTACGTGACCAGTGAGGACCACTGAACGCCGCCCTCCAAGCACTAGCCCCATGCCCGACGTACTGCACAAGTAGCGCAACACCCTCTTCGCTGCAGCCATGTGCTCTGGTCGGTGTCTCCCAGGAGCAACATAGCGTGCCAAGATGCTAAGAGGGTATGCAAGGTCAGGTCGAGTGCAGGTCATCAGGTACATGAGGCAGCCAACAAGCTCTGGGTACGGGCCACTCGGCTCTACGGACTCATCCGAAGGCAGAGCTGAGAGCGAGTGGCGAGTAGACAGACGAGTGGCCTGAGGCAAGGAGTACGTGAAGTCGAAGCGCTGAAGAACCTGCTGCACCATGTGTGACTGAGTCAGGGTAATGGTGCGCTGTGCTCTGTCCCGGGTGATCTGCAAGCCAAGGTAGCTGCGCAGTTCACCCAGGTCTGTGCACGTGTGTCTCTTCTGCAGCTCGGACTTCACGTGGGCGAGTCCAGCAGTGTCAGCAGTGGCAAAGACCAAGTCGTCGACGTACACGAGGATGTAGAACGGGGCAAGGAGGTGTCGGTGCGCAGAAACAGCGACGGGTCGGCAGTAGAAGGAGCAAAGCCAAGAGCCGCAAGTGTAGTCCTCAGTGTGTCGTGCCACTCGCGGGGCGCCTGGCGGAGACCGTAGACTGGCCGCCGGAGGCTCCACTGGGTACCAGGAGGAAACGACCCAGTGAAGCCAGGTGGGCGGCGCAGCCAGATCTCCTCGTGCAGGCTGCCCTGCAAGAAGGCTGTACTGAAGTCAAGAGAGTGAAGCTCGTAGTCGCGCTGAGCGGCTATGTGCAGCAGCACCCGAAGAGTGGTCATCTTCGGGGTGGGAGAGAAGGTCTGAAAGTAGTCAACTCCCTGCCGCTGACTGAAGCCTCGAGCCACGTAACGCGCCTTGAAGACAGGCGGAGAACCCGGCGGCCGCTTCACCCTGAAAATCCACATGCCACTGACGATGTTCGCCCCAGGTGGGGGAACCTCGTCGACGTAGGTGCCTGTGGACTTCCATGAAGCCATCTCTGCGTCCATGGCTGACTGCCACTGTGAGGAGTAGGGACCCTCGATCGCCTTAGCGTACGATCGAGGAGTCGGGATGTCTGGTGCATCCGGGTCTCCCTCAGGGGCAATCAGCGTGGACACAAGATGAGGCAAAGCAGTAGCAAAACACTGGAACTCCTCCTGCCTGTCCTCAAGGACGTCCGTGCTAAGAGCACACTCACCCCCGACGGACGGAGGACAGACAGACTCAGACTCAGCAACAAGACTAGCGGCGTAGTCTAGACGACAGCGAGCAGCAAAGTCGACAAGCCCAGCAACCAAGGCAGACGCAGCAGTGGACTCAAAGGAAGGGTCAGTGACAACAGTAGCCAGGAGACGCGTGACAGTAGGACTGGCAGCACGAAGAGAGTCAGACTCCGGGTCAGCAAGAACAGGAAGAGAGGACTCTGGAGGAGACGGCAACGGGACACGCAGAGGAGCAGTGGAAGGACGCAGTGCCATCTGGTGCGTGCCGGGGACCGCAGGAGGACGCGGACGCGGAGCACGACTACTAGTGCGAGCAGCACGAACAGGCGACGCAGGACGAGACGCAGG